AAGAAGAAACCGTACTTTGCTTGATATGGTGAGAAGCATGCTAAAGGAGAAGAAACTTCCTCAGAAGCTCTGGGGAGAAGCTGTTGCCACTGCAACGTATGTACTCAACAGATGTCCTACGAAGAAGTTGAAGGAAATAGTTCCTATGCAGAAGTGGACTGGAGACAAGCAAAGTGTTAGTCATCTGAAGGTGTTTGGTTCTGTTTCCTATAAACATGTTCCAGAAGCCAGAAGACAGAAGCTGGATGATATAAGCAAAGTGATGATTCTGATAGGGTACCACAGTACAGGTGCATACAAGCTCTATTGTCCAGAAACCAATAAAATTGAATTCAGCAGAGATGTGATTGTGAAGGAATCAGAAGTTTGGAATTGGGATAAGTCTCAATCTGATTCTGATGTTAGAACTTCTGAAGAAAGGTCAGAGTTAAGAATTTCTGAAGTTGAAGTAAACTCTGACGTTGATTCTGACTCTGATAGTGATTCTGACTCTGGAGAAGACTCAGAAGATGAAGGTGACTCTGATGATCCAGACTCTGATGGTAATCCAGATTCTGGTGGAAATTCAGACTCTGAAGATGGCCAAGACTCTGAAAATATGCCAGATCTTGAAGATGGTCAAAGCTCTAGAGGAAGTCAACCATCTGAAGCTGGAAACTCTGAAGCAGAAAGACTCTGAACAAGTTCAGAGACCACAAAGAATCAGAAGCGTTCCCATAAGATTTGCAGAATTTGACATGCTGCAAGACACTGAAGTAGACTCTGAAAGAGAAGTTATTCAGTGTGCCATGTTAGTAGACTTTGAACCTATAAGTACAGAGGAGGCTCTTAAGCAGAAGCTCTGGCTGAAGGCCATGAAAGAAGAACTTGATACTATAGAGAGAAACAAGACTTGGAAGCTGACAAAACTTCCAAAAGACAAGAAAGCCATCAGCGTCAGATGGGTTTTCAAGCAGAAGTTAAAGCCAGATGGCTCAATTGGCAAACATAAAGCAAGGTTGGTAGCCAGAGGATTTTTACAAAAACCTGGGCTGGATTACTCTAAAGTGTTTGCACCTGTAGCAAGACATGAAACAATCAGAATGGTGATTGCAATAGCTGCTAACAGGAATTGGCCTCTGATGCATTTAGATGTAAAATCTGCATTTCTGAACGGTCCATTAGAAGAAGAAGTTTACGTATCACAACCTCCTGGATTTGTGAAAAAGAATCAGGAAGGGATGGTGTACAGATTATACAAAGCTCTATATGGATTGAAACAAGCGCCCAGAGCTTGGAATCAGAAGATTGATTCATTTTTCAAGAAGCAAGGCTTTCAGAAATGTGAGATGGAGTACGGTGTCTATGTTCAGCATACTTCTGAAGGCAATATGACTCTGGTATGTTTATATGTTGATGATATACTGCTGACTGGAAGTTCTGAACAGGAGGTAGCCAAGTTCAAGAATGTTCTAATGAATGAATTTGAAATGACTGATCTAGGCAAAATGACATACTTTCTAGGGATGGAGTTCAGATATTCTGAGAAAGGTATCATTTTGCATCAGCTCAAGTATGAATTAGAACTTCTGAAGAGATTTGATCTGAAGAATTGTAAGATGGCTGTCACACCTTATGATACAAATCAGAAACTGGATTCAGACTTTGAAGGAAAGGATGTGGACGCTACAACCTTCAAACAGTTAGTTGGTTCTCTGAGGTATCTGTGCAATACCAGACCTGATATTTGCTACTCAGTTGGGATGATTAGTAGGTTCATGAGTAAACCTAAGTGGTCCCATTACCAAGCTGCTGTCAGGATTCTGAGGTATATCAAAGGAACTCTGAAGTATGGAGTGTTATTTCCGTCTGGAGGAAATAATGAGTCAGAACTTCTGAGTTATTCAGACTCTGATTGGTGTGGAAACAGAGTTGACAGAAGAAGTACATCTGGGTACTTGTTCAAATTTCTGGGAGGTTCCATTTCTTGGTGTTCCAAGAAGCAACCTGTTGTGGCGTTGTCAACTTGTGAAGCTGAATACATTGCAGGTGCTGTTACTGCATGCCAAGTTGTGTGGATTCTGAATCTGTTGCAGGATCTGAAGATTAAAGTAGACAAACCTCTGAAGTTGATGATTGACAATAAGTCTGCAATCAATCTTGCCAGAAACTCAGTGTTGCATGGGAGAAGCAAGCATATTGAGACCAAGTATTATTTTCTGAGACATCAAGTTCAGAGTGGAGTGTTAGAAGTTGTACACTGCAGCACTCAGAAGCAGTTGGCAGATGTTCTGACGAAAGCTATCAAGACTGATCAATTTCTCAGACTAAGGGATGGAATTGGTGTTACAAGTTTTGATGGAATATGAATTAAGGGATGGTATTAGAATATTAATAGTATTTCATATTTATTTAGTTGTACTATTTTCTTAGCCCCTAAGTTTGTTAGAGGGTATTTTAGTATTTTATCTTATTCTAGTAACCCTAGTTTTATCTTATAAATAGGGTGACAATCATGGTAACTTTTATCATGTTTTTGTAGCCGTCATTTTTAATAGAATATTTCCTTTGTTCATCATTTATTCACCTTTGCACCAACACTTATCACCAATCCATCCAAATAAAAACTTCCTAAAAATGAACGGTAGAAAGCAACTCCATACACAGTAGTTATACACTCGGAGGTAATGCTCTCGACTTCAACTCGGAGGTAATGTTCTCGACTTCGTTGCACCATTAACATTGTAGTATATACGGAGCAAGCAACCGATTTTCACTCACAGGAAATGTCAAGTGGGGAAAGGTCGGGGCCGCAATTTAAGGTTATTATTGTATTCATGTATATGCTTGTAAGATTTAAACCTTAATTTGTTGAATTTATAGTGAATTAATAAGACAAAACTATAGCTGGTCTATATATATAAACGTTGAAAATTTGGTCGAACTGTGATCAAATTGCTTTTGTTTCTCTTTGCTCTAATATATATTTGTCTTGTAGTTCTAGCATATCTCCTCTATGAAGGTCTCCTCTATCGGCACCAAACCTCCTTAGGTGAATAACTATCAAATCATGTAATAATCTCAACTAGGTACCTATTAATGCAATCTTCCCATGGACTCATAAGTGAAATGTTGACATGTTTCGTAGCCTGCCACACTGCACGGTTACACTTGAAACCATCACAAATGCAATCTTCCAAATTATGTTACCATTCATAGCCTCCCTTTAGCTTATATATAAGCCAACTGATAACAAATTGAACTTGATCAAGTGTTACCAAGTCTATGTAAAGTCGTTCCAGATGCCTCAACGATTAGGCAAAAGCTGTAAATTCTTCTCAAACAAGATATCAACAACTTTTGAACTAAGTAGTTTATCTGTAGACAATCAGATTAAAATTGTGCCAACCAAAGTTCTTATTCAATCTGACATCACTTAACACAGTTTCATAAAAGGCAACAAATATTGTTAGTTTTTGGCTCTTATTAATAACATCATATCCACTTCTTTGTGTTTATGCTATTTCTTCCGAATATATAAAAGAAAGAGTGAGTACATTCACTAAATAAACATGAAAAAGATAATGCCATAACCAAATAAATACTTAAAGCTATTAATTCATCCAAACCCTCCTTTATGGGAGGTTTCAAAATTTTCAAATCAACTACAATAAATATCACTCAATTAGATTAAAAAAATTATAAGATAGAAATTCACAATGAACACTACTACAAATAACACTTTTTATAATGAAGTTTTTACTTCGAAATGCTAAAAACCGAGAGTATAGTTCATGGTAGCGTCATGCTAACAACCTTTTACCTTAGTTATCTATAAAATCAAAGAAATATATCTATAAGGAGCACTATTTTATTTTTAATATAACCTATTACCGTTGTCTTTTGAAAAAACCGAAGGAATATAAATATTAGGGACGCTTTGAATCCGATTACTTCATTTTATGTTTTTTCAATGATTTCACTACTACAAAAATTATCTTTCATAACGCCACCAAATTTTATTTCACTACGACCAAAAGATTTAACGTTGTAGAATCTATTTAATTAGGCATTTTCCTTTTATTTTCATTTTTAAGGTCACTTTTCACCACGATTAGAACTTCTAACCGTGATAAAAAGTAGCGTCTGGTCATGATTAATCGATCTTCACCATTATCAAATTTTAATCCATCAAAATTCTCCAATTCAACCACTCTTTTCATCAATAAATTGAAGACTTCTGCTACTATAAGGAACAAAAACGGTGAAACGACCTACTATAAGAAACAAAACCGGTGAAACGAGCTACTATAAGAAACAAAAACGGTGAAGCTGGATCTTCAGTCTAAGTTAAGAGTTAAAGCGAGCCAACTTAAAAGTCCATAAATCACATACTAAAGTAAAGCTTAATGACTGATTTTGAGTCGAAGTCTTTATCATATTGCAGTCTCCTTTTACATCGATATAATGTGCAGTCAGTTTTAGCAAAAACAAACAAATCAACTAAAATACTGACATAACACTGGAGCCAAATATAAAATGAGACTTTCTACTAATCAAAGAGGCCCATAAACCACCAATCAGATCACATATTCACCACTGAACGTAGGAGCTAAACATTGAAGGAAAAGAGAGTGAGTATGGAAACATAAAATAAATGCAGAAAGGTGAAATTGAAGTTATGATTTTCTATGTTTGAGTAAATGACAGTAATAATAAAACTACCCATGTAATTCTGTAACTGATCCACTTGCCTTTCACATGCTTAACAACCATTTTGAATAAATAATTGTGTTTCCAGTTTATTTTCTTGTTTTGAAACTGTTACTGATGACAGTGATAAGAATAGAGTTTATATTTGAACAATAAAACTCTACTATAGAAGAATGGGCTTTGGGTGTATATTATTACATAAAGATCCCATACGAACACATTAATTACATCAATAACCCGTAATTTTTGTATATTACAAATGTCACTCCAACTAAATCAACTCATCACTGGATCAAGTGCTGGTAAATTTAATCATAAGGATTCTTAAAATTCTTCAAGAGGTTAGGAATGTCGTAGGCAAGCATGTCATCAACTACTTGTATCATTTTCGGTTTCAATTTTTCAAACTTGTCAATATTATAACCACCTAAACTCTCCCTGAAATGCTCAACATTTGGAAAGTCGCCGGGAGGTAAATGGAACTCTCTTTGTACCTGTTTTGAATTTTGGATGTCAGATCAAAGAGACATGTAGGTGAGCATGCAGATGTAGAATCAGATTCATACCTTTCCAAATTCACCTGCCAAGTTATCAATTAGTTTTTGCTGAGCTTTAGCTTTGCCCATCATTGCAGGCATCTCCTTTTTAAGATGACTGATAATGTAAGCATGTATCTTAACTGCCCGGGCTCGTTTTACAAACTCGTTGATCTACGATAGTCATTGAATTGAATACATAAGATATATTTAATTGGTGAATATGGTTCAAGAAGATCTAGAAAATTTAATATTTCTAAAAGATATAATCCTGAAAAGAAAGAAACAATCAAATCAAAAGGCCGACTTTATTGTAATTTAATCATATCAATATCTTCAGAATTTATTCGTTAACATTAGTGCAAAATAAAATAAAATCACTCTTCAATAAACAAAAATAAAATCAATAAACTCACTCTTCGATCACAAGCTGCCTTAGGTATATCTTTCAGATCTGAAAGAAGGTCTTCCTGTTCTTTTTCAAACAGTTCCTTTCCAATTGGACCACTGACAGCATCATTTACAGGCTTGTCGTTAAAAGAGCTGCAAAAGAAAGGTGTGATAAAATACATCGGCCACGATTCCACTATAAAAATAACATTGATGCAACTTCTTGATACCAAATAAAGAGAAGTTTAAAATAACTAGTGATTGTAGTTTTGGTTGTACATTGGTCTCTTTTCAACTCTCCACGTCAAAGAGAAAATTTCAACATTGACAGTGAAGTATACATATAGACATACAAAGTAACATACCCAATATACACACGACTGACTTCAGGTGTGTTCAGCACCTTCCCAAGTGACCACATTAAGGCTCCATAAACCCTCATCAGCTGCAACATAGGGCCAAAAATAGAGGTGAGCATTTCCTTATCATGTAATAAAAGGTTCATTTTATAAATAAATAGAAGTTTAACTACACAAGCAATTACTTGTTGAGTATCAACTTGATCTGCCTTGTTTAAAACCACTCGAATTTTGTCATCATGTCCCCGTAAGGATGATATCACGCGATTGAACTCATCGCTAATATCAAGTTTGTGAGGATCAAACAAGAGGAGTATTAAATCACACTTAGCTGCAAACCAAGATGTTACACCCGTAAAATCATATGCTCGTTGTGCTCGTTGCTTTTCTCCAGATAGAACTCCGGGACTGTCCACAAATGTAATGTGCTCCAGAAGCTTTGGACAATCAAAAACTGGTTACGTCCAAATGCACACAAGGAAAATTTATAAACCTATTCAATGGAGCGAGAGCAACTTACAGGATGAGGCATTTGTGAACACCCAAATTTTGACAAAAAAGCTGTGCCAAAAGTTGTGAGTCCACTAAACGGCATGTCTGCTTGGACAGCAACAGTATTTCCAGGAATGCTTCTCTCATCAGGTCCAGACTGTGCACCAACACCAGTTGCAAGTTAAAACTAATGCAATAACTTATTTTCCAAAATGACATAAAGATTTATTAAAATGAATAGAATAATTCAAATTGTTAAAAATAGGTACCGATGCAAAAATAATTTGAAATTTTTTCTTAATGTATTAGAGAGTTTTGGGAGAGAATCTAGTTTTCTGGCACATACCATGACAACAACAAACCTATCAGTAGTAGGCTCGGGTCCAATATGTGCACCTATTGGCAGTTATGGGAAAACAAGACAAACTTCAGTAACTTGTGTCTATAAAACAGATATGAGAAGCATCACACACACCTAGATACCAACATGGATACAGAAAAAGAAGAATTACTTGCCTGGATAACTACATTTAAGCAGATGTTTGATAAATGTTGTTTTACCAGTTGAGTATTGACCCAAAAGCATAACCATAGGTTTGGCATCAAAATCACTATTTGCCTACAATGAGTAAAGAGTTGTAATTAATAAAGATGTCAATTGTGTATTTAAAACATAGCAAAGATAAAACCAAGTAAAGAAATATGACACTAAATCGATCAGTCATTTTTTAGGATAGTAACTTACTGACCAGTAACGGGGAGACAAAATCATTGAAGCGGTAAGTAACTTCTAAAGGCTTCAACTTCTGGATGTAGAGTCTCTTCAAGCCATCAATTATTGATGTCACAGAGGAAAGTGGAATCTGTGGAAATATGCACCAAAATACAAAGTAAAAAACCTATAAGAACATATATTTGATGATATCTAATATTTGGCAACAGCAAAGTAGCAATAACACAGATTAAAGGACCTCCTAGAGAGCATATCTAGATGACGGCCTTTATCAGAAACTAAACTAGATAGACACAAGACAAGATGAAAAATTGGTAAGCCTTGATAGTAACAACTCAAAACTGACACATTAATATTCATCTGTTGATATCAGGTAGATTATTACTATTTGTATCGGCTTGCATCACATAGGACAGTTGCATAAAAATCAATCAATATTGTTAGTTTAAGCTTCTATTAATAACATCATATTCAGACAATAATAACTAAACCAAACCAAAGGATACTATTCATTCTTCAAGATCATGATAGCACAAAATGAAACTAGAGCGTAATAAAGCTGGTAAAGAATGAAAGTCAAGCATGTTACTGTTATTAATTGAAAACTGGACACGAGTACTCAGTATGTTCTCTCTAGCAGCAGATAAGTATAATGTGCACACAAATAAACAAGCCACATTAGCAGAATGCTTGCCTTTTTCGTGGATTTCGAAGAAAACCAACTACTTGATAGTGATGGCTGTAACTGAGAACTATCTGCATTATCACTAATTACTGAACTGAGACTTTGAAGAGAAAAGAATGAACAAGAAAACCATAATCAATGAGTGCCCATATTTAGTAAAATGGGAAATATATTACCATTTACATCCACTTCTTTTTGTTTATGTTTTTTCTTCTGGATATACAAAACCAAAGAGTGAGTAATTTCACTAAATTAACATGAAAAAGATAATGCCATAAATAAAAAAATTACTTACAGCTAGTAATACATCCAAACCCTCCATTATGGGAGGTTTCAAATTTTTCAAATCAACTGCAATAAATTATAGGCTCTATTAGATAAGAAAAATTATAGGATAGAGATTCACAATAAACGTATATGCAGACAATACCTACTATATGCATTTTAATATTTGATTTTGAACAATACAATTACGAACAGTTATTCAAATAAAACAATAGAAGAAAAATCTAAACACACACAACTTACCATCACTACTCAGCAGATCATGTGTTATTGGGTGCCCAGATTGTCCCAAAGAAACGAGCTACATTTCATATGAGTAAGATTCAGGGTATCTATCAGCATTAAACTTCCGCAAAGTATAACATAGTTTTACCTGCATAGCAACTATAAACTCTTGGAAACCTAGATAACCTTGTCGCTTTGAATCTGCAATAGCCCACACCTAGTTTTGGTAAGGAGCAAAGAAAGAAAAAGTTTAGTCGGCTATGTATACAGAAATAAAGAGGAATTTAATATAAGAAAGGGCAGGGGATGTACTAATTGGACCAAATAGCTATAAAAATTAAAAACCAATAACACCCTGCTATATATCCTTTGGAGTAAACTGTCAACTTAGTCCCTGTCTAGAACAAACTCAAATAGGTTTCTGAGAATACGAATATATTAAAAAGAACCTCAACCCTGTCAAATTTTATTCATATTAATCATTCAATATTAATGTTGAGAATCAAATTAATTGTAAGCTCTGTAGCACAGACACCTTTGAAAAAAGGTGTGTCTGTGTCACTGACATTGTCAGACGCTGACACCGACACTGACACTTGTAATTAAGTTCAAATTATTAGTGGTGTCAATAGGTTAGTCGTGTCCGATATTTGTGTCTGTATTAGTGCTTCATAGATAGTAAATAGTTAAATATAAGGATAACTTATTCACAAGTGATAGAAGCAGTGGAAGAAAAAGCAAAATAAAAAATAGAAAACCTGTTTAAGATCTTGACGGGACAAATTCGACATGGCGAAAAACTTGGTGGCGTCATTCCCGGTTATGCGGCCATCAGCATCTGAAAATCAGAGTAAGCACGGTGATGAATTTCATCGTTAACGGAAAAAAAATGGAAAAATGGATAAAGAAAATACCTGAATCAGCGAGATTGAACCAGGTTTGATAAATGTTGTGGTGATCTTTAGAGCAGGAACCGATTGGGATCGGATCGAACTCCATTGATAACAGAATAACAATAACAATATTCTGTTGCGTTTCACAACAACAACGATCACAAGATTAAACAAGTTTAATCAGCAAAGTAGAGGGTTTAACGGAAAAAAAAGAGTTTTAATCTGTTTTTGCAGTTTGTTTGCATACGCATTCGCTTTGCTTTTGCTTTTGCTTTTTACTTCGGACAAGTTCTCAACTTAACGTTAATGGAACTTTGTGCCACCACTTTATTAATTTATCACCATATCTATTATCTAAATGTATTAAAAAAAGTTTAAGACTTTGTTTGAATAAAATAAATAAAACGAAAGAAAGTGAAAAATATTAATAAAATATGACTTTATAGTACTTCGCTGGTTTCATAATATAAAAGTAATATTTATTTTTTAAAATGTGTTATTATAATTTATAATTATTTTATTAATATCGTAAAATTTATAGAAGATTTTATCATAGATAATTACCATTGCCTTTCATTTTTGTATCCAATTGTTTACTAACAATGTCAACACAAAGTATTATGAGTTCAAATCAATATTTAAATTTTTTTTTTTTTCATTTCATATCTTTTTTCTTCGAACATTTAGGTGTTGTACTTGCTCTACTAGAAGCAAATAAAATTTGGTTAATATATCTTTTTAGATTGTTTATTATCCCATTTTTAAGTAGAATATTATAATATGAAAATTATAAAACTGTTTTTAAAATTTTAAAAATATATTTTCGGATTTACATCAAGACATGATAGAGAGTAGAATTATATTATTTAAATTAATTTAGAATTATATTAATATTTTTATATACCGTTATTTAGTGTGCTTCTTATTAATATTTGAGCCTTTTAGTTTATTACCCATTAGTGGTATTAGTGGTATTATATTGTAGTCTAATTGAGACATTAGGAAAGAAGGAAATGAAAAACATATTATTTTTTTATTGTCATTTATCTTTATAGTGTTATTAGTTTTCTTAGGGTTTATTAGCATCATAACAATTGATGCTTTTATTTTCGATCTCATTCTCCCAAATTAGATGGTCGTTCTAGTGTTTTATGGGAAAGAAGATTCTTACTGGTGGGTGTTATGTGTTGAAAAAGTTTTCAAAGAGCAAGGAACACCTAATACAATGAAGTTGTCGAAAGCTGTGGCGAAATTATGTGGTTGTGTTTTCCGCTGGTGGCTATGGTGGTCTCAATGTCAACCACCAACAACTTGGGATTCACTCGCCACTGTGTTTCTGTGGCATTTTAAACCCGAATGGCGAGAAATTTTACTGATTGAAGAGGAGGATGAGCCAGTTCTGGATTCAATGAAATTCATCAAGAAAACTTCCTTTTTTTGAAGATCTTGTTGCTGAATCTCGAGTTGTTAGTGAAAGGGTTCAGAATCCTTTACCAAATTTGAAGAAACAATCCATTTACTTCTCTTCTTATGTGGATGAGTCTCATTTCAAGCACACAGGTTTAAACGATGATGTCAAGTTCACCGTTCCACCAAAATCACCAGATTTCGTTGTCGAATCTCATTTCAATAGTGGATATTTTCACAATGATGCCGATTTTGATATTCCATCAAAACCTCCTGATGCTATTTCAAAGATAGATAGAACATGCATACCTGAAATGTTAACGAAAGTATGTGAATTCACCATTTCCCCACCGCCACTGACAATGATTCTGACAAGGTAGTCTTCGCTTAGCCTATTTGCAAATCTCATTTTAACTGTGTTTGATTTGGCACGTCTCATGTGGTTTGAGTTTAAAAATATTAATCTAAACTTTGCAAATGTTTCACTGACCCTCACTCTGGTTTTTGTACCTGGACCGTATTGTTTGAGACAAGGTCATGTTGCTGATAGAGTGACATTGATAGAAGATGTTATGCACATTAAGAATTAAATCTGTAGGGTTCTTAAGGATTTTCATTTGGCCGCTTTTGTTGATTCTAACTCTTGTTTCTCCAAAGCTATGCTCGACAACAGTGTTAGGCATTTATCAAGGCCACCCCTATAGAGAAAGACAACACAACCAAGACGGAAGCCTGCTATTAAGCACAACACTGGCAATTGGCGAGCTTGTCCATCTATTCTAGGCAATGAATCTTGTGAACATTTTGCCTTCTTTGGCATTGTGATATGCTCATGCTCGCCACCATCCTCGACCAGAGCCTCGTCCTCCTTTTCGGGTTCCGGCGCGACCACGCTACCCTCGACGACTTGTGGAAGGGCTGCATCCCCGAAACGGGACATCCGGGTTCACGAGTCGGAGCTGCTCCATTATACTGTCGTAACCCACCTCGAGGGCCCCTAGAAAATCCTGCTCGAGCTACCGGATCCTTGACACCAGAGCCGCCGGGATACCATGAGCTTTTCCTCATCGGTCTCGTCCTCTGTGGGCTGGGAAGCCGCCTCCAGTTTTGCAATCTAGTCCAAAAGCCTCATCCTCTCTTCGCCCGCGACCTTCAACTGCTTCTCCACCTCGCCGTAGAGCTTAAGTTGGGCAGCGCTACCTTCCTTTTTCTGATCAAGATCAGCAACTAGTTTTCTCCTATCCGCCTTGACGGTCGTAAGGTCGGCCTGCAATTTGGAGAAGTCGACTGAAGAGAAAGCCTCGTCATTGAGGACCACAGTTGTCTCGAAGATTTGAGCAAGCCTCGACATTTCTTCTGTAAAAGAAAAATAACCAAAGTCAGCAAAGTAAACCAACAACGAACATGCAGACAAGGTCCAAGTGAAAAGAGAACCCACTACCTAAAAGGCGAATGGCTTCCTCGCTGGATGCACACTCGAGGAGGGCCTTCGTATTGATCAAGCGCGACTCCGTACAAATCTCCCCGTGCGAATCGAGGATAAAGTTCCCATTCGACGTTACGCACTTAGCAGGGGTGAAACTAGCAACAAAAGCGACTAGCTTCTGGTAAACCGCCCGGTCATCGGCATCCAACGAGCCTGCCCACACTATATAGATATATGTGCCCTTGCTAAAGTGTTCCTCCGTCCAAACCCGCAAAATCTTCAAAACTAAGACCTCCTCCGACTGCCCATTCCTTTCTTAGGCCTCGAGGTTAAAAAGTGAATCTACAGCCGTATGCGTAACGAGATTATCGACATAATATCGGTCCTTGAAAGCCCGGATGGAGTTCAAGTATGCCCGAAAGAGTCTCCTCAACTACTTCAAGGACATCTAGTTGTATCGGCCATCTATCGTCTGTCGTAAGAGGTGGAAGATACGGAAGAAGGGGGTGAAAGTGGCCCCGATATTAAGATGTCGACAAACGAGCTCGTATGTCCGCACGAACGCGATTGCACTGGGATATAGTTGTGAGGGCGACAATCGAAGCCAACCAAAAACCCCTAGCTGGAAGTCTGAAGGGCAGATGCAATCCCGCCTCTCAAAAGATAAACTCGTACATAGGGAACCTCATCCCCTTGAACACCGAGCATATTTGGTGGTTTGCTTGCGGTTTGTACACTTGTCAGTTAACAGGGGAACCCTCGAGAAGGTCCTCGACATTGGCGTAAGCGTCAGACTCATCCACAGCGAAGCGAGAGGAGACGCTCAAAGGCTCCTCCCTGGCCCAGTCCGCTGCAGATCTCCTGCCCTCTTCGCCGGCCAGCGCCATCGTAGAGTTTGGCCCGTCGTCTCTTTCAATAATTCCTTGGGCCCAAGAATCTATTTACACCTGAAAAGTAGAGTAAAAAGCATTCAAGACTTACTTGATACAACGGTTCTAGGTAGGTGACGCAATGGACGGTACAACGGCGAATGGTGGACGTTGTGGTGCAGATGTGAAGAAGCAAACGAGAAGAGGAACGACGTCATGAGCGGTAAGAGTGAAAAGTGATAAATTGAGTAGACTCAGTCCTATTTATAAGCCTAGCACAGGACTCGAGGCGCCCCTAGGCACTCAAGCACCCCTACCCTTTTCCGCCCTAGCTAAGAAATGGTTTCTTGACACGTCGCAGCACCAAAAGCTCTGCAATCCATTTGTCTCCCCGTACGGCTCCCCGACATGCCTCCGCTCCCGACATAGTAAACGACTCCCAATTCCATATATTGGGAAAATACTTTCTCTCGAAGAGGTCCTCGACATTTCGACATGTCCTTAAGTCATTATTCCTCCACCTTAGAGCAACGACTTGGGGGGCTCCTGTTCTGGACTGGGCCAGGACCTGCCCTTCAGCCGGGCAGGCCCAACCCAATGTTATGCTAAGGAGGCCCAACAAGGCCCAATTTCATCTATCGGGCACAAGCCTCAACAAGGCTCACCATTCAGGCAGAAGGCCCTTTTAACGGGGAAGCTCACACGTTTTCCCCACGTTCTCCACGTGTCCCTCGCGCGGGGACACGTCATCAAGAAACTACCCACTTTTGAAAGAGATGGTCAGCCCACCTTCCGAAGATCATTGGACAGTTGATCCAGGGTGAAGACCATGTGTTGGTATTCACTATGCCACGTAAGCCCTGACAGTTACTTGTTGGGCTTGGCAATCTGGTCCAATGCAATGTAACCGTTGGCCTTGCGTTAGGGGCATATTATAAATACCATCTTTCACTAGAGGGTCGGGTATTCTATTCATCACACCTTCTCTATGGACTTGCTCTCTCTAGTTCTGGTACTTACTTAAACATTGGAGTATCTTGCAGGTACACTCCCTTGCTCCTCCACAACACCGGTAAAAGCAGCAACTCACGACGCGTGGCAGACCACTTCTTCCTTTCTGAAAATAACAAAAAATAAATTTCACTACTACAAATAACACATCTAACATCGGTGCGAAATGCATTTAACCTCGACTACACAGACGAGGTAATGAAGAGCGACATGAAAAACAATCACTTGTCACATCGGTGATTCTAAAATCGAGGTTAGAGATTAAAAGAGCGTGGGTTTGATCCCCACCATCAGCATTTTTATTATTTTCAGAACTAGATGGTGCACCCAATGTTATTACCTCGGTTTTATGTAAAAACTGAGGTAATATCTCAATGTTATTACCTCAATTTTACGTAAAAAACGAGGGAATAAGTTTTTTTTACTATCATTTCAAAGGGATATAAAACATTTACTTACCAATTTTCTCATATCCCCTCTTCATAATCACGATGAATAGCATGCACATCATCTGAATCATTTTCTTCAGATGCTTTTATGTACACGTGTTTATAAATAAGGCGTCTCATAGTTAAAATCTTAATTTTCATCAGTACTATCAGGAAGATGTTTACCTTAAAGAACAATTAACCATCTAGTGTTAGAAGGATCAGTGTCATAAAAAACTTGTTTTACGTGGGTTGTCATGATGAAAGGTTCGTTCTTATAAATTGCCTTACGAATATCAACCTGTGTGAATCCCAATTCATCGGTTTCTACACTAGTGTTACTCTCATTCCACTTGCACTTAAATAAAGGCACGTTAAAAGAAACATAGTCAATCTCCAAAATCTCTTCAATGATCCCAAAGTACGCCCAAGATGCTAGTACAAGATTTTTATCTTTGGAATTAAAAAAGTATATGGATTCATTTCAAAGTCAAAAGATTAAATGTGTACATGAACAAAGAATACAAATGCAATTCAAAACTTACGTGCAGGTTTACCTTGATGGTAGAAGAGTGAGATGTAGAAAGGCTAGCTTTAACTTTTTACTTTCTTTTTTAACATTACCTTCATCGAGTTGGATAAAATTTTAATGGATGATAGAACTCTTCTTTAAAAAAATTTAACAGTATTGTATGCACTCGAATCCAAATTTTTTAATTAAATAAAATCTCTTATTGTTTCTTCCTAATGATAATCAATGCAATTTTTTTCTACATATAGATATAGGATAAAGAAAATAAAAGAATTAAATTTATTTTCATTCCATTCCTTCTGATTTCTAAATTATAATTAAGATTTTTTTATTCAAATACTATAATCTGAAACATTATGTACCAAACTGCTACAACATAAAAAAAAATGTATTAGAACGCCATAATTTTTTTAAGGGTCGTCAAATGGAAGGACGAATCAATGATGCAAAATCTAGACATGAAGGGGTTCGGTCAACCATTAGTCGAATCATTGAAGGAGATTTTTTCTAAATATAATTATATAAGTTTTATTATATTTTAATTTTTTTTTAAAGATTAAAAACTTTTTTGATGTTTTAAAATATTAATGAATAAATAATTTAATTAATTTTATATTATTATTAAATATTTTCCATAACATTTAATTAATTAATTAAAATAATTTTTTTATGAAATAAAATCATAAATATAAGTAATTTTATTAATATTATTGAGTGAAAAAGATATATCATTTTTGTTTGCGAAAATAACCGCCAATTTCACACATT